CACACTTCCGGTGATGTCAGGGGGTGTGGCCTTCTGACACACTCCTGGTGATGTCAGGGTGTGTGGCATATGCTAATGAGTTATGCTAATGAGTTCCCCTAGCTCTTTTTCTACGAAACGACCCCTGCATATATTTCTGCTGTGGCACTGCCCCCTTTTCGGTCCAGCTGGTTGGGGCTCTGCCTCTGTCATCTTACTGGGCTCTTTTCGACCCTGCAGGTCTCAGAATGGGAAGAGGAGGGGGCTGTGCTATCTGGTTACTCTTTCTTCAAGGGGCATCTGCTCTCCCTGCCTCAGAAACAAGATCTGTGTCTTTTAGGGTTGCCATTCCACTGGTGGGGCCAGGGGATCTTTTGATTTTTGGCCCCCCAATCTGCCGTGGCCCAGCTGGCTGTGGGGGAAGCCCCACCCCTGAGAAGCCCCCTCCCGGTACCACTGGTGCTGGCACAATGACATCACCTGGGAGTGATGTCATCACGTTTCCGATGTAGGGGGTGATGCTCTAGGTTTTGGGCAAAATTCTATGGTTTTGAGGCGACCCCCCCATAGAGTTTTGCCCAAAATCTAAAACGTCGTCCTCAATGGCAGAAACGAGATGACATCACTTCCAGGTGACATCATCACGGCTCGCGTGCTTTACACACAGGCCAGAAGAACTCCAGGAAGGGAGCCCCTCCCACCAGGGGCCATGTAGGACCTGGCAACCCTAGTCTCTTTCCTCCCCAGCCTGTGGTGAAGCCTGCCTTATATCGGGTGTGTAAACCCTGCCCCTCACCCAAATAGGGTTGCCAAGTGTACTTACCCTTGGCAGCAGGGGAGCCTTGGCGGGCTCCGGAAGCTCTCGTAGGACGCGTGTGCGCTGCCAGCACGTCACAGGAAGTGACGTGCTACGTCGCTCACAATGGGGGCGTGGCCCAGATCGTCGGGGGGGAAACCATATGGTTTCCCCCCCGACGATCTGGGCCACGCCCCCAACGTGAGTGACGTGGCTGCGTTACCTCTGGTGACGCAGCTTCGGGGGCGGAGTTCCCCCCCCGGGGCCTGATTCCACCGCGGCGGAAATCGGGCCTCCAAAGTGGGGGTTTCCCCGCCCCCCACCCCCACTTGGCAGCCCTACACCCAAACCACCCAGTCATGCCTGCCAGTGTGTCGGAGTTGCTCCTCTCTCCCCTCATGGTTGGCTGCCCACCCTTCCACTCTTGGGCCTCCTGCTGGCTACTACCAAAAGAGGTCAGATGAACCAGATCAGCCGCCCTCCTAGCTAGGCTGGCCTCCCTCCACCTGTCCCCTCAGGGAGATGGCTGCCAGTGGTGGCCCTAGGGAATCCTCAGTTGATGATGTCAGTGTGCCCCAGGCCTAGGTTTGCCAACTCTGGGATGAGAATTTGGGAGCGGAGCCTGGGGACAGTCAGGTTTCGTGAGGGGAGGGTATAACGTCATTATGACAGACCCCTGTCTGTTTTCCCCATTCCCAGGCAGATTTTCCCGCCAAAACTTTAGTTTCCCTCAGTGACTGAGTCGCCCCTAGGTAGCGTATATATCTTCTTTCGCTTAAGAACTTAAACTGTCCCACCCTTTCACAGACAATTGTTTAGGCTATTGACCCAGCACAGGGACTTGAGGGAAAATACAGGACCTATCGTGTTTTACTATTAAACCCTTTCTGAAATGTCACTTGAAGCAGGGTAACTTTCAAAACAGAATAAAGATTTTATTTAACAGGCAGGGAATAACACACACACACACACACACACACACACACACACACGAAATATCAAGATTTGGAAATGCTGAAGTGAAACTTTATAATGTATAAAGACTTGAGAACTTGGAATATATAAGAGAGTGTGGTTGTAGCTTAATTTCAGAGTGTTCTTTTCAGTGATTATTATAGTAAAAACACAGCTTCTTAACTGAGTATCCTGGAGAATAGCTCTTTCTTAGAGTTCTCTTAGAGTCCACCCTAGGGTATAACGTCCTGCAAAGCAGCCATTTTCTCCAGGGGAACTGATCTCTGTATCTGGAGTTGTAATTCCAGGAGGTCTCCAGCCCCCACCAAGAGGCTGGCAACCCTACCTAGGCCACCAGCACTATTTCCTTCTTTTCCCTGCTGCGGTCCAGTGGACCTCCACTGTCTCCTCTTCCTCCAGGCAGGGCTCTCACGGCTGCTGGGGCTGCCATGGTAAGGCTGGGTCTGGTCTGGTCTGGATGCTGCCACTCCTTCCTTTTCCTGGCCAGGCTCCTGGGGCCACGGGGGTGGGTGGCACAGCGAGACTGAGCCCAGGGCTGCCACCAACGATCTGCAGTGCTACTGGTGTGGACTTTGGGAGTTAGATTCAGTTGTTCTTCCAGGCAGCACCCTTCTTCATTAACAGCCTCACAAAAATGATATTTACGTTTCTCAGTGGGGCGCCTCCCCTAACCTGGATGGCTCAGGCTACCCTGATCTCATTAGACCTCAGAAGTTAAGCAGAATTGGCCCTAGCAACCATTTGGATGGGTGACCACCAAGGGAGCCCAAGGTCACGACTTAGAGGTGGGCAAGGGCAAACTGCCTTTGTATGTCTCTCACTTTGAAAACCCTGCAGGGTTGCCATAAGTCAGCAGTGCTTTGATGGCAAATAAATTGGAGCACCTCTCCCATAGCATTAAATTTTCCCTTTCTCCCATACCTTCTAGGCCTCCATGCTGTAGCCCCTGTTGGCCGGGAGTTCATCACAACCTTCATGCAAAACTACTTGATGAACAGCCCTAAGCCTCAGTTCCAGCTCTTCATCTCTGGCTATGCACCCTCCACCAGAGTCACCGTCTCGGTCTACAAATCCCACTTCCAGAGCAACTTCATCCTCAATCAGGGTCAGACACAAGTCGTGAACATTCCGGCTTATGCCGAGATGTCCGGCTCTGCTAAATTCTGCAACACCATCTTGGTGCAGGCCGATCGAGATGTTTCGGTGTTGGCCCTCAGCTCCAAGGAGAACTCTGCTGACACAAACGTGGTCTATCCTGTAAACAGTCTCGGCACAGACTACTACGTCCTCACCCCTGCTGGAGACGGAGACAGATTTTATAAGGAATTCTCCATCATTGCATGGCGTGATCCAGTCCAAGTGGAGATCTCTCTCAAGGGAAGTGTGAGATTCCAGGAGCGCATCTACAAAGCAGGAGCAAAACTGAGTGTCTCCCTTCTCCCCTACGAAGCCGTCCAGTTCCAAAGCCGCCAAGATCTCTCCGGAACGCGCATCAGGTCACCACAACCAGTGGCAGTGCTGAGCGGCCACAGCTGTGCGCACAAGAACACCAAGTGCAACTATGTAGTGGAACAGCTACTGCCCGTGGCCAGCTGGGGCCGGGCCTTCTTCGTTCCGCCGCTCTCCTTCCAGATGAACTATGACATTGCCTACATCGTTGCTTCCCAGACCACCCTCATCACCTACTTCTCTGGTGGGGCCCACAAGAACCAGCTCCTCACGGCTGGGACAGTTTTTCAGCTGGAAGTGCGACGGACGGGTCCCATCTACATCTCAGCCAGTGCTGGCATACAAGTTTTCTTCTTCTGTACCGGTGGTTCTCACAACGGGATAGCTTTTGACCCATTCTTCCTCAGCATTCCAGATATATCCAGTTATTGCACCTCCTACTCCCTCATGAGCCAGACGGGCTTTGAGAATTATGTCCTCATCATTGCCAAGAAGACGGCTGCCGCTGGGATCGCCATGGGTGGACGCCTGTTGGATGGCGTTTATTGGAAACAAATTCCGGAATCAGAATACGTGTGGGGCGAATACAGCCTGGGGAATGGAGCAAGCCAGCATGTCATGGGCCATCCTGACACCCCCTTTGGCCTGCTGAGTTTTGGCATAGCCAATAGGAATGGCTACGGGGCAGTTGCCCTCTGCCAAGGTGGTGAGTAATGATTGGGGACAAGGATCATGGAGCTGAATTTATTGGGGTTGGCATAACAGTGGTGAAAAGGGGGTGTAGTGGTTAGAGTGCTGGACCACAATCCGGGAGACCTAAGTTTGAGTCCCCACTCTGTCATGGGAACTTGGATCAGTTACTCTCTCTCGGCATAATCTACCTCACAGGGTCGTTATGAGGATGAAGATGGAACTGGAGAATCTGATTCCTGTTACCTGCTTTGGGAGCAGGAAAGAAGTGGAACAAAAATATAGCAACTTGACAAACAGTCTACCCCAAACAATGGATTCTCCCTTCCCTTCCATTGACTTCAGATGAGTTTGTAATGGTCTCCGTGTGTTCAAGTGGTTTTCTGTTCTCCTTTGGGCTCAATGCAACATGAAAGTGATGACTTAGCGCACAGGCAAGACCTGGGCCAAACCTCATTAGACCACCTCCCCAATTATTCTATTATGACCTTTCTAATTGACACGGAACACCCTTTTGAAGTTTCCAAGCTATGTGCCAAGTCAGGATTACACAGAAGGCTGTCCTAGTGTCTGCCCCTCAGCTTTGGAACTCTGTTTTTCTGGAGACTCTTCAAGGGTCAAGGATCTTTTGGAAGTTGATTTTTTGGAGGGTTCCCAGGAATAGAGAGAAATTGCTGAGTGGTCGGGTTAGAATGGTTAAAAGGAAGTACTTCACCCAAAGAGTGATTAACACATGGAATTCACTGCCACAGGAAGTGGTGACGGCTACAAGCATAGATGGCTTCAAAAGGGAATTAGATAAGCATATGGAGCAGAGGTCCATCAGTGGCTATTAGCCACAAGGTATAGATAGGGGCTCTGGGGCAAGTGATGCTCTGTCTTCTTGGTGCTTGGGGGGCGTCAACAGTGGAAGGGCTTCTAATGTCCTGGCCCCAGTGGTGGACCTCCTGATGGCGCCTGGTATTTCTGGCCACTGTGTGATACAGAGTGTTGGACTGGATGGGCCTTTGGCCTGATCCAACATTGGCATCTCTTATGTTCTGGTTACAGTTTCTCCACAGTAATGGTTATACTACTTACACTGGGTTTGTAAATATTTTATCTTCTTTTTCATAGTATGCTGTGTGTATTTTTAAAATGTTTTTACTCAAATCTTCCCTTCCCCTTTTCTTCTGCTTCTTTTATGCATGAAAAATGCACAAATTGTGAATATAATTTCTGGAACTCCTGAAATATTGGACCAGAACATTTTCTATTTAATTATATATATGAAAATATATATATATATAAGATCTTGCTAAAACCTGGTCTCCTGTTGGAGAAACAGAAGTCCATGACAGGATCAGCACGGTTTTCCAGCTCCATTTTGTTAAGAAGCTGGCTCCCTGTTTGCAGATGTCTTATCTGCCCACGCAGATTCATGCTTCAGTAACCTTGAGGCTAGATAGTGCTGCCATTGAAGATGATCTGAAAACAGTAGCTGGTACAAAATGTGTTATGAACATACCACAATATTACAAGAGCCAGACCCTTTTTGGGGTGGGGGAGTGAGAGAGCAACAGAAAATACACTGACGGGCTGTTCTCTCCCCCCCCCCCTACAAGCTTATGCGTAAATCCAGCACTGCACATATGATGAGTAATATGTGCAGGGACAGTAAAACTCTACATACCAGTAGTTTTAGGGGAAGGCCTTGGCCTCTAAGCCCTATTTGTTGTTCCTCTGGGACAAATGGCTGGCCACTATGTGGCTGGGCATCTCTTATGTTCATAACTCCTATCTCAATGTAGTCACTGTTTCAAAGGTCTTTTTTACATACATATTAACTGAAAGCTAAGAGAATTATATAGATGGGTTACAATTCTTATAACT